CAGTTATTTTAAATGAAACGCAAAGCTTGGTTCAGTCCTGCCAATGTGAAGATTGTGCCACACATTTTAAACTTTATCTAATTTTCGACGTCATTCTCCGACTGTAAAATTAAAAATATGTTATAGACAGGTTTTGTAAGTATTAGGTAGGTTACTAATGCGTTTTTACATACAAGCAGATTAATTAAGCATATAACAAGTATATTCGCCGACTTACGTCAAAGTGATCTTCTCAGCATCGAATAATGGTCTTTGGAGAATAATTGTCATTTCTCTTCACAGCTTGAAACCACTTTTTTTTCAGTTTTGGGTCAGAAGTTCCAGTCAAAAACAATTTATTTGGGAACTTTGTTGAAGTAGATTGGCACAAAACATGGTCAGTCAACACGGCTTTTTTTCGGAATATTAGTGGTATTGTTATGATCACATGATGTTGATGAATAGTCCATTTTAAATTTTTCAAAAAATATTTCGAAATTCGAAAAAATATGCAAAAGTATGAAAATTTAAAGCCAGCAACGAACAATTACGACCAGTGACAGACAGGAGTGACGTCATCGCAACCATAGGTTCGTTTTCGCGCGAAAATTTAAATTGTCAATTTAAAACCGCATTTTTTCCGATAAATCACAATGTTTTAATTTTTTAATATATCTGTGGTTTATTCAACATGGAATTCTTTAAAATGAAAACAAAAATAAAAATATTGCATCTTCCCTATTTTGATTATTATAAGTACCTATTTATCGCAAAATGAATTTGAATCTTTGCTGGTATTTCTTTAATATTATTGTTAATTGTAATTTCTACCCTACGTAATCGTTTTAATTTTTTTATTGAATACTGAGTAAAACAAATATATATTAGATTATATTGCGTAAAACGCTGTTGAACCTTTTTTATGATAAATAAATAAAAATAAATATTAACTGTCGTTACTCACCAACTTCGCCCTCTGTAGTTATCTTCCATCTTTATCCGAAGCTTCAACCCTGAAACATGGTGCCATCGGCCAGCACCAGCGAGCACGGAGGGCCGATTTCGCAGATTAAGTTCTTCTTAAACTGCGAAATCGGCCCTCCTTCATTAACCTGAAAAGTAAAAACAAAAGAGTGAGATACTTGGATTCATGCAAATATTGTTTTGTCTATACCGATGGCCGTCCTTGAGGATGAGATGAGGATTTGCAAAACTAGCGGAGCTTGAACTCTTCGATCAACAATACACATCATTATATTTAACATATTAATATGGAACGCAGTACTACTTATAATATTGGTTTCGATTTGTGACAACTTACATGAATTAATATAATAACATAACGAAGATTGGTAACAAAGAAAACTTGAAAATCAGAGGAGAAAAGAGTAAATCGTTTGCATAAATTGATACGATAATAAATAAAACACATCGTTGAGCATTTTTAGATGTTGGACACCCATCTAATTTGCGTTCGAATCAAATTTAGCAAGGGACTAAATAAAGTAGGTTTGATACATAACAATCAATTATAAAGAGTGATTGAAGAGAAAAATTTGCATATTTAAATATTAATACTCGCATGTACTCACCCAAAGCTGTAGTCACAAACGCCGGCCACGTGGTTATTTAATTTCGTGAAAGAACACCCCGCTGCTATTGGCTCCCAACGACAAATGACCTGACTGCGAGTACTGCGACTGCTGCTTGCTCGCTTGCTCGCTGAACGAGGCCTTTAAAGATACTTTTTCTCTTTTGCACACGTTGGCCATTAGTATTCTTTCTCCTTCCCGCTCAGCATGATAGATCCATTTGTCTGAGGATTGTTACCTGCTAGGCTTATACCATCCGAAGTTAGTTGTGGGGTCGTAAATGCAATTGTCCAGAAAAAACTGACAGCGTAAAATCTATTTTATTACTCAAGTATTGAGCGTTTTCTATATAATAACTTTTTCTCAAATACATGCTATGGACATACATGCTTGGAAATGTAAGTTTAATTTTGACAACCTTCTTTGGGTTAAATTGAAATTGCTGTACTGGCCACTTACTTATACGAGCAGCGGTCGGCAAAAATTGTATGTAAGTATCTATACTGATATTATAAAGAGGAAATGTTTGTATGTAAGTATGTTTGTAACGATTTGGCTCAAAAAGTACTGGAACGATTTTAAAAATATTTTCACCATTTGAATGCCACATTATTGCTGATTAATATAGGCTATAGTGTATTTTCAAAAAGTTAGGTTTCCGTATGAAAATTTCGATAATGTAACCCAACGCGTGTAAAAAATACCAAAAAATAGCCTGATATCGCGTACGCTGCGGAAGCCATTGACAATAGAGCAAAGTAATGTACTAAAGTTTTATAGAGGATACCAATATCTACAAAGAAGTCCGCGATACCATATGTCTAACTACTACAGTTATGTAACAAATAGAGGTCCCCTGCGGTTGCACCCGCGTTAATTTGAAGAAAAAGGTTCATAGTGAGTCAAACTTAAAATATGGACATGGCTGTTGTGGACTTTTTTACAGAACTTTTAAAGGGAAAGAATTCCCTCATACATGTTTTTTGTGTAACTTAAACCGTTTACCCAGTGCACACAGCGGAAAAATATTCCATTTGTGAGGCAAATTATTAATATTTATAATTATTATGAAGAAAGTCATTGTGTATATTACAAGCCCTTGAACAAAAAAAAATTCTACACTACAGCTGCAGCAGCTCTACACCGAAGCAAAGCGAGGGCGGGCCACTAGTTTTTTATAAATCCATAACTTTAGTTTTTGCGGCCAGAAGATCGACTGGAACGATTTTTTACTTCGAAACATGGCAACCAAGGGTAACGTTACCAAACGTTTTATTTAAAATTTTAAAACTGGATTTCGACATAGAAAGTTATTACTAAATTAAAAAACAAATGAACACTAATACGGGAAAAATATTGGTGTACAATAAGTTGTTCGTCATTGATTTTCCAGAATTTCAAAAGTTCTGCCTAAGTACTACTTAGTATTTAAGTACTACTTTATAAAAGCATCGAGGGCATTTTTTTGTCTTTATACTCGTAACACAGAATATACGCAAAATTGTTATATTGAGTGCACATACAGCGTGTTTGAATGTCCAATTGTGACTAAAGCTAATTGTGGTCATGCAATTTAAGCGGATCACTTTCGAGCCGCGAGTCCCGTATCTCCCCCTCAGACCAAGAAATACTTTTTTCATTTCTCATTCTCGGAATGTGGTGTTGTTTTGATCTGTTTGTTGGGTGGAAAATGCTGCTTCCCTCCCTAGAGATGGAAAAACTCATACAAATTACTTCCCGCCTAAGGGCCGGAATGAACTTTAAAAATAGAACTACTGTCAGGTGTGAAGAGTTTTATGTAAAAAAAAAATATGATGCCATGTGAGTTTCTAAACAGCCAGTGTGAACTTAGCACAAACTTCTTTGAGCGGAATAAGCCGCAACAATTACGCTGTTCCATATTTAAATTTAAAAAGTCGACATAAATTGGCGGGATACTAAACTGTTATGTATCTGTGACGGAATAAAAAAAATCTTATAAGTAAAACAGAGCAATCTAGAACACCATTGACACCGTATTCAATTAAAGACGAGGCAAATTGTGTTATAGAGAATCTTTTGCCAGAAATGTCAAAAGAGGATATATGAATACATACAATGATTTTATAAAGTGGCGAGCAGAGAAGAATATAAAATCGTTTTCCGAAAGTGTATTTCTTACATATTTTAATGGACTGTTTTCTTCACTTCTTCTTCAAACTTCCAGGGAGTATCTGCCATGGAATCCATCGTTTGATGAAATAATAGAGTCTCCTACTTTTACAGATATCCAAAACAGTAAAATTTGTAATAGTATATCAAACAGCATAAACATTCCAAATAAGAATGTAATTTTAATTTCACTAATTGTCCTAATATGACAATTAATTTTAAATAGCTACTTCTAATTTTATTGTACCTATATATATATATATATATATATATATACCTATTTATGAATAAATATTTTTGATAAACAACTAGTTTTATTTTCCTCATATTCGAAATGAAAAGTAGAGTGTTTAACTCGGGTAAAAGAATCAATTCCTACTCGAACTATAGCCGCCCTCGCTGCGCTCGGGCGTCTAAATACCTCGGGAATTGATTCTTTCCACCCTCGGTTAACAATCTACTATTTCCTGGTTTCCCTTTTTGTTTTAATCTAAGTACACAAGCCTTACAACTAGGCCGAAAGGAACTGAAGAAAATTGTACATACTAGAAAAAATCCTCGCCGACCAGGCAGCAGACGCGACTTCGGGTTTTCGCGTGGATTTTTTTCTAGTACGATTTTTTTAGGATTTAAACATCTAGCAGTGAAATGCTTAAAAACAAAAATGTAACTATAATTGCTATTTATTCTTTTAAAATACACTAGAGAATATTCTACACGCACAATTAGGGTCGCGGTAGCTTAATGGTGTATGCATAGCGCCCGAATTAGCGGAGGGTGTGGGTTCGAGTCCCAACTGCTGCCTGGACCGCGTGGAATTTTTAGTACAATTTTTAAAATTTAAGAATATTTAAATCCATGAGGTATTATTATTATTATTATGCATAAATTAAATGCCATATTTATAGGTGCATTGTTTAAAATAGTTGAACCCAATTTTATTTTTTTTGTTGAGTTCATTATTGGGATATTTTCGAAGATCCATTAAATCCACTATAATTTTCTTTAAATTAGAAAATCGGAATGCTGACTTCGAAGAATCTTCTAATCGATAGCTCATGAGTGAATTCATCTTTAGGAGACAAATTCACCCTTTTAGTTTGTTTATCAACCATTGTCGGGAGCAAAAATTATAAAACCATTTTTTTTTCTTTTTGCTTATCGTCCTATAGTTTTGAGTGAATCTTTTTAATAACGATTTATTTGCTTCTCTTCATGGGTGATTTTGTTTTCTTTACAACCTTTAATGATGATAAGTGAAAATACAACTAAGGATAAAATATGATTTATTAATGAACACTAAATATTCAATAGTAACATAAACTTTGAAAACTTGACTGATCATAGAAAACTAGGTATTCTAAATGTGATTGTTACTTTCGAAACCAAAACGTTGTAACTGGTTTAAGAGATCTGAATACTTCTCAATATTTCTATATCTACATTCTTCTTTAATCTCCAACAGCAATTCACGCAGACTATCACATAATTTTGAAAAGGCGGTAGTCTGTTGAGTATTCTGCAAAAAAAAATATCTTACTTAGTAACGGGGCTTATCTGTTACATTTGTCAAATACTATCAATCAGTAACGTAAAATACCAGTAGATCAAAATTATGGATAATCTAATAACAATAATACTTTAGCAGGCAAACTGCCCTTTAGGGCGATGTTCGACGTCTCCCAAAGCTGGCAAAAAAATGCAAAAAAAACCCACGTCTTAATTAAAAATGTACAAATATTGATTTAGAAATACAAAATTTATTAAGTGTCAAAATCAAACCGCGAAAAAATAGAAGTAACTGCAAGAAATAGAAAAATATTACTCACATTGTAGGTAACCAAAGCAGACATTGCAACTCTCCGCAACAGATCTAGCTCGCACCGTCTGACGTGAGCAGATGCATCTTGTAAAAGAGTTTCTAACGTTCTACCTTCACCAGGACTAAGTACTATTTTATTTACATTACTTTTGGAACACGCACCAAATGCATCGCAAACTTCCACCCATACTTCTGTCCCGTCAACTGTAAACGAAAAAAAATCAATTTATATAATATTCCTTTATTTAAATTGAGTTCTGTGCTTGTAGCACACGTGAAAATCGAAAACTACGGCATGGGTTCGTAACATATCACCACACCACAATCAACCGATCGGGTCTGTGCCTGAATTCAATCTTTAGCATGTGAGACAGAAAGGTCTCATATTCTAACATTTGAATAATTCTATTTACTTTAAATACAACTGCCAGCCATAGGCATTACATAAGCAAGGAGGCCGTAACGCTACGGGCGTTAAATTATCTAGGTATCTAAAGGACAATGGGCAAAATTGCATGGACACTGCACCCACGTCCGCCACGGCTTAAACTACATTTGTTTGAAAGGTATCATAGTCATGATCATTTGTGCCAAAGCGCATCAAATTCCATCCCGGGAGTCTTTAGTTATTTTAAGTTAAATAGGTACAATTCCATAGGTAAAAGTAACTATAACGAACATAATATTTAAAGATACAAGGATGAGTATATAGAACGGATATATTAATTGACGACCGCGGAGGTCGTCAATTAATATATCCGAGTCGAGTGGTTTGTACGCCGGGTTTCATGGTGTCGCTGGCTCGAGAGGTCCCGGGTTCGAATCCTGGTGGGGGCAGATGTTTGTGTGCTGAGTACGAGCAATTAAATTGATCCATAGATTTTTTATTAGCTCTTACGATTATAATGACGTACGCAATGATAATCGTGTTCCTATTTCTAAAGCGTGTTAGTTAAATATCAATGAAATAACAGGGAGCGCACAAAATGTAAGACATAGGACTGCATACGAGTAGACTAGTTGCAACGGCAACTGCAATATCACATCCTTCAACCCCCATACCCTGTTAGACGTTTTGAGGAGTCTCAGTAAGTGCAAGCAGCAAGCAAGCAGGATAGTCGGTAGGCTTTGTTGTTTAGTATTTTGTATCTGGTTGTACAGTAAGATATGATTCAATCACTTATTATTGCTAATATTATAAAACGAAAGTACTATTGATATTGAATGAATTTCTTTAGCTATTTAAATATCATCACCATCAGCCTATTAATGTCCCCACTGCTGGGGCACAGGCCTTCCCTATGGATGAAATAGGGAGATTGGGCCATGACCCACCACGCGAGCCCAGTGCGGATTGGCGGGTGCTAACGACTGCAGATGCAGCCGGGACCAACGGCTTAACGTGCCTTCCGAAGCACGGAGGAACTCGAGATAGATGTTTTTGGTCACCCATCCAATGGCCGACCACTGCGGAAGTTGCTTAACTTCAACGATCGCTACCGAACGCGCTAACCACCTGCGCCATCGAGCTTCTCTATAAGGAGCTATTTAAATATGCCCGTGTGTAACCGGTCCCCATGACTTACACACAAAAGTCGTCTATAAGGACTATGTGCGGAAACCTTAACCCCTAATATAGAACATACCCAGGTGTATATCTTTTGACCCCCAGGTTATTTTTTTTTGGTGCCATAATAAAAAAGGCTAGTTTTTCATAGATCTATCGATTCATACTAATTACATTGTTGGCGGAGCTGGGTGCGTTTTGCCCATTGTCCTTTAATATTTAGTTTTTCCTTACCGACAAATGGTAAAATTGTCTCAACAGATCGGTGGTCGGAATTGGAGGCTAACGAAAGTGTTTCGTCTGCTCCGATCGAGCAATAGAATGAGTACTTTAGTGGAGAATCAGGATCAACAGCTGCACGGGTGCTGATGCGGAACGTAGACTCCAACGCAGTTCCTGACTCTGGTGCAATCTGTAAATCGATTTGTGTACTTATGAAACTAAACTCCATAAACTGTACCTGTATGTCTGTATGTACTGTATATAAATAACTTTAGTATTTTATAAAAAAAAACTGGTTTAAACCATTTATTTTTTATATGAGGTGTAACAAATCTCATGTCGTTTGATGTTAAGTATTAGTGGAGTCCTGGAGTAAGAATAGCTGATATAGCTTTTCTTTTTTTATAATAGCTACCTAATATGGAAAAAAAGCTGTATCAGCAGCTTCACCTTGTGGGCTAGAACACAAGAACCCAGGAGCGTTAGAACCTTACTTAACAAAAGGAACACAACACCACCATAAGGTAGAGTTATGTCACTTTGGCATTATTTAAGGTAATCTTAGATTCCACAGTCGGACGCTCCAATTTGAGTGGAAAATCAGTTGTTTACTTCTCTAAGAATATAAAAACATGAACTGAGGGCAATTTCGTTGAGGAAATAGCTGAATATCTAGCTTGCACATTTAGTCAATTTGTTTGGACTGGGTTGATGTTATTATTTTGTAATTATTTAAAAATAGAGAAATATCCATATCTCTATCAAAATTTTAACGAAAACAAATTAAAACGTCTACAAAAATACTTTTAATTTTTTTATAATAGAAAATGATAGTCTTAGAGACAGCGTTACATCTTTACTTTCTTAGTGATTTTATGATGAAAATATATTTGTTTATCTGTCATTGGGTCTCAGCAGTAGGTTGAATAATGTTGATAATCTAGACCCAACCAGCAAGAAAAGGGAGGTGACCGTATATTCAGTGCAGGTGTAAATGATATAGCTCGCACGATAAATGCGGCATGTTTGGTGAAAGCGGCGCGCTCGAAGAGGTGGTGCGCATAGGAAAAACGGCGCGCTCCAGGCAAAGCCAAAAGCTAATTCTCCTCCGAATATTTGTGCTTTTTTCCTGCTGCGACGAGATTGACAATTTGCGCAGAGCAAGCACGATCAGAGTACGCATTTCAAGTAAAACTCAACGAATGGATACGATTGGAGCAGCAGCCAGACACCACAAAATAGATACAAAATTTTGCGACCTGGAATCTCTTGCAACATGCAACATTGTCTCTTGTTCTATAATAAACATTAACAATCATACCTTGACTTCGCCTGCCTTAGGGCTCTTATTAAGTTGGAACCAGATATCTGCGTACACCTCTCCTAATGTCTTACAACTGAAGGTGAGGGAGCAGCCACATTCCGCCAAGAATCTCGCTCGACCAGCCTGAGCACGTAAGCTAGTTGTCACTTGCCTCCATTCAGTTTCATTCGTGAAATCAGACAATTCACTGAGAAACTGCTCTTCAAGAGAAAATATCGTCAGGGTATCCGAGAGAAGTTCTCCGTGCTGTGAACAACTTCATCTATTACAGGATAGACAACGGTAACTTTTTTAATAGAATAGAACGAGACATGATAGTTCACGATTAGATAATGTAGTTGAGAGGGAACAAGATAAGACTAAAAAAGACGGTACGAAGAACAAGGACGATGGAACTATACATACATATAATAGATGACAACACGATAGACACGGGAGAGTTGAAACAATGAAACAGAGCGAACATTAAACAGGAATAATAATTATTGTGAAAGAAACCATTATTTTAATCACTATCAGAATATCAAAGTCAGAACTGCTGCGCCACAAGCCTTCCCTATCAATGGAGTAGGGAGATTAACACAAGTTTCAATAATTCAACCTTTAGTAAAAGTTAAGCATAATTTGATTTCATTTCTTAGCAACAGTTGTTATTATAAACTAAATCATAATATAAAGGCAACAAAGTTCTAATAGGCCTATCTCTTATTGCAGTTTGATTATTGAAACTGGTGGGCCCTGTGTGGATTGGTGGGTGCTTACTACTTCATAAGCAACTGGGACCAACAGCTTTACCTTCTGAACTAGCTATTGTGAAAGTTGTTGACGAACGCATCAATTGTTTTAATCGGTCTCATACATTTCTAATCAATAGTGATTCACCTGATGATCTTGAGTTTCGTTGCAAATGTTTTCGTTTAGAGAATCTAAATACTCATTGGTGGCAAAATACCAGGTAAGTGAACAGGTGGGTGCTACATTACTGGCATTAGCAGTTAGAACTACTTCACTGCCGTCATTTAGTAATCTTCGTAATGGAGTTACCTGTAGAAAATTAACTTACTATTAATTATAAAAGAAAAACGAGACGAGAATAATATAATATGATGACAATATGTAAGATAAATCATTTTAAGCGAACATACTTCTTATACATCTCAGGATACTTTAAAAAAATATTGTAATCTGTATGTTGCTGCAATTCGTACCTGAAGAATTGGTAATATCTGTTCCACTACAATAATTGTGCAATTCCATGAACATTCTTGATCTAAAACTGTCACTTTTAACATCACCGTGTATCTGAAACACCGACAAAATCTTCCCTTGAGGTATTTAGCAATTTAAAATTTTGAAACCCTTACGAGGATTTATTTGCAGGTTAAATCTAACAGTAAGTACATAAAACAATATCTATATATATAAAACTCAAAGGTGACTGACTGACATAGTGATCTATCAACGCACAGCCCAAACCACTGGACGGATCGGGCTGAAATTTGGCATGCCGGTAGATGCTATGACGTAGGCATCCGCTAAGAAAGGATTTTGATCAATTCTACCCCCCCAGGGGATAAAATAGGGAATGAAAGTTTGTATGAAACTTTGTCAATTTTAAATCGATCGGGCTGAGCTTTTGCATGCAGGTATAAGAAGAATCATAGATGAATGTCATTGTGTATAATACAAGCCTGAGAACAAAAACTGTAGTCTTCACTTCAGCTCTACACCGAAGCGAAGCGAGGGCGGGCCACTAGTCGTGTTAATAAAGGTAGTAAATAATATTCTCTCACACTTTTATCGGCCCACCTAACATATATCCGCTTATTAATAAACGAGAAATGAGTTCCTACCACTCAAATGCCAAATGTCATTCAATGAACAGAGACAAAACATAGAGTAACTAATCCAAGCTTATTCTTCGTTTATTAATAAGAGGGTTAAAGTTTTGGCCTTTAAGTTTTGACGGTCCCTAGCGAAAAATAAATATTACATTGAGTAAAAAGTTTTAACGCAGTTTGGAAGCTGATTTATAAATCATCCTTTTCGTGTGTTTTAAAATAATATGTTATTATTGCTCAACCTAACTTAATTATATTTTTGCTACAGATCGTAAAAACCGGAAACACCAATTAGGCCGATAGATATTTCCGGTATTGTATATATGAAACACAAACTTCGATTAAAACAAAAATTGAAGATACGGCACTTAAACTGATCCGCCTAAATTGTGGTGCATGACCTCAATTCGCTTTAGTAACAATTGGACATTCTAACAATGCTGCATGTGCACTCAATATAACAATATTCCGTAGGATATGCTGTTATACGAATAAAACAATACCTTCGACGCTTATTTAAAGAACACAAACAGTTGAAAATCAAATAACAAATAACTCGACACACTTTTAATTCGTAAAACTGTAAAAACATTTTTTCTCAAAAATCACGGTTCGTCGTGAATGTTATTTACGTAATCACCATTTTGTTATTAAGAAAAGGATAACAACACAGACCAGACGTGCGGACTAGGGCGCGGACTCGCCGTTTCGCTCGGGCTGCTTGGAAGCGTATCTGTCTTGAAAATTCGATTGTTCGATTGAAAATTAACGAGCGAGCGAGACAGAACTGTACAGACGTGTACGTTTGTGAAAGTTGCTGATGTAATGGAATCTGAGCATATTTTATTTGATGCTAGTATGAGCGTACCGTATCTTCTATCTATCTAACTATTTATGAACACAAACAGGTACTCAAATACTCACTCTCCCAAAAAAGGTAATCCATCTCGAAAAGTTAACGTACCGTTCTCTTTAGAATCTACGAAATCAATGCAGTTTTCATTATTTTCATACAAACACTGCCATGTGTACTGAAAAAGAAGATTATATTTCATGTGAAATTGATTGATTCGATTAGTGGATTTAACTTGGCATACCTTACTAAAACACAAAACCTAGCTGCCATGTTTTTTAAGAATGACTTTAAACGTTTCTCTTTGCGTTTAAGCTCATAAGCAGTTTAAGTTTTTAGGTCAGGATAATAAAAATATAATAATTATAAATTACAATTAAATATTATGGCTTTAGAAATATTTATTACTGGATCGGCTTTTTTATCCTGAAACTGGAATTAAAACTGTATGAGTCTAAAAATAGCCGCAATATTTATTTCCTATTTTACTTGCTAATTGACTATTTAATACTTACCGTCAAAGGCGATTCATAATAATCATGATTGATGACTAAAGATTCTAAGGAGAACGTGTAATTAGTAAAAACCATCAAATAGTCTGCGCTCAGATATACTTCGAGTCCTCTATGTGCAACTTTGAATGGCAAATTTGTCTGTAATAAAAAATGGTAATTTTGTATTCTTTATAACAAATGCGCAAGAAGTGATAGCGGTAGCAAGTTATTGTTTATGAGACAAAAGTTTAGACGTTGAAAGTTTGAGTATGGATCGAGATGAAAGTGAGATGCTTTAGTTTAGAGTTTGGAGCAAGATGAAAATAATATGCTTTAGAGTTTGGATCGAGATGAAAGTGAAATGTTTTAGAGTTAAGATCGTGATGAAAGTGAGATAACTTCCAGATTTGATCGAGATGAAAGTGAGACGAATTCAAGTTTGGATTGAGATGAACGTGAGATGCGTGCGAGTTTAGATCAAGATGATATAGAGATAAATAAGAGTTTGTTTCGAGATGAAAGTGAGTAGAATTGGAGTTTGGATTTAGATGAAAGTGAAATGCGTTCGACTGTAGATCGAGATATGAGTTAGTTGAATTGTATATTTTGTTGTATAATATCGGAATTACTACAAAAAAACTGAAGTCACAGATCTCGTATTGAAAACGGACTCTTAATTAGGAAGGATTCGTTTTATGCTCTCATATATTATGCACCTGGTACAATACCCACAAGTTTCATGTTACTAGTAGATGTATCTGACTAACGCGTAAGTTTTGTTGTTATTAATAAAAGCTATTTTATTTATTTACACCAGCATATCTTAGTTCTGCCAACCGAAATAAAATTATATAATAATTTGCAATTACAATATTATCGTCCGGCCTATAAAAAAAAAATGCTTTCTACAATCCAGTTGTGACAGAATCATTGTGAAACTGATAGCATCTTAAATAACGTAGCTACTCGTATAACATTTTTTTTACCTGTGTGATGAGATCTTCATTACTTTTTCTCAAAACTTTGCAATTGATATTGTATGTCAAGCCAGCTATCAAAGAAAACGGTGCTATTTCCAGATTGGAACTAAGTATGTGAGATACGTTTAAAACATGTGCCGATTCTACAGCTCGAACAGTCCAAGAAAACTGAAAACAGAATTTTAGTATTAACGATTTTATAAATCATGATTATGAATACAGTGACCTGATTGTTACATCTTTAATAATACTGCTTCCTATTTAGCTTCTAATAAGATTCCCAATAAGAAGTATTTACCCTTCGACGTTAAATTTTATTGGGGTTAATACATGATCGAATTTAAGGATTCGGTTTTTATTTCCAGTGTCTAATTAGGATTAATGAATTTTCTTATTTAAAAGTTTTTTTTTTTTTAGTAGTAGTAATAATTCTAAAATTCTTATCAGTCGGAAAACCATAAGATATTGGATACGTTTTAAATACTACCTCTAAAATTGCTTTAAACTCTTAAAAGACTAAAAATGTATCATTTAAAATGTTAATCTCAAACTACAAAACCTAAATCTCAATGTCAAATATCTAAAATATTCCGTAAATTGTATGATACTCTAAAGACTTGAATTTTAAACAGACAAAACGAAAAGACTTAAAATTAAACTGAGCCACAGTTTAATATATAAATATTTCCAACACTCACACCAATTAGCCTAGCCCCAAAGTACTGTAGGCTTGTGTTATGGGATACTAGGGTAACGGATATAATACATATACTGATAAATATATAAGTTTTTTTTTTATAGAAATACATATCAAACATCCATGACTGAAGTACAAATGCTAGTGTTCATCTCAGAAACATCTGCCTCTACCGGGTTTTGAATCCGGGACCTCTCGAGTCGGCGACACCATGAAACCAGGCGTACAAACCACTAGGCCACGGAGGTCGTTTAATATATATCCAAACTGAAAATTTTAGGCCCCGTTGTGGTCTGTTGTGGTTATTTTGTGACCTACTTACTTTATACACTTGTAAAGAAGTTGTCAAATTGATAAGAAAATATCATGTGTCGGCACACCATGTTCTTTAGATAACTTCCAGAACCCGTTTTTTATGCACGCTCTTCATGTCTGCAGACCAGTTTAAATTTTGCTATTGTCAAGTGACGATGTTATGTTATGGTATAAAAAACCGGCCAAGTACGAGTCGGACTCGCGCACCGAGGGTTCCGTACAAACCTGAATTTTCAAAATTATTTTTTATTATATGATGTAACTAAAAATTTACGGTTTTTCCTTTATCTGTACTATAAGACGTTACTTCGTACCAAATTTCAAGATTCTTAGTTCACGGGAAGTCACCCTGTAGGTTTTGATTCCCGTGCGAGTTTCGAAAAATTGCGGAAATTTGCGGCATAATCGGCTGTATCTTTTTATTGCTTTGGCTTATAAGTTTGGTTTTTCACAGCTCCAAGGGACAGCAGACCTGAGTATTAGATATGAATTTCAATTTGATACCTCCACGCGTTCCTGAGAAAAACGGTCTTGAGAGACTGACGGACGGACGGACAACAAAATGATCCTATAAGGGTTCCGTTTTTTTCCTTTTGAGGTATGGAACCCTAAAAATGCTTACAAAATAATCTTGAGTAGGATAGCAGGTTGTGACTTCGGCGTTAACAGTGAAAGTTTCATCGGCATTCGCTATTTGAGCTCCAACCAAAAATACCGATATCATATCGTTTCTACCCTCAATCATGAGTTTGTTGTCTCCTTGCGTATTGTCTATGTTGAAACTCTTGGGTTGCTCGACGGTCCCGTCATTGTTGATCGCGGTGACATTAAAAACGTAGTTGACACCGGCTAGCATCTGATTTGGTAATAAAAAAGAACATTAATAAGTTATTATACATTTGGAGTATATGCGATATGATTTTTCGTAGAGCTCGATGGCGCAGCTGGTTAGCGCATTCGGCTTGCGATCGTGAAAGTTAAGCAATTTTCGCAGTGGTCAGTCTTATTATCTCGAGCTTCTCTGTGCTTCGGAAGGCATGTTAAGCCGTTGGTTCCAGCTGCATCTCATCTCGGCTCAGTCTCCCTATTCCATCGATAGGGAAGGTCTGTGGACCAGCAGTGGGGACATTAATAGACTGATGATGACATATTTTTTATCGCTGTAAGACTAGGTACATTTCTTTTGAAAGATGATCAAACTAACTTCCTGCACTTATTAAATAAACCATTGTCACCACAGGCCATTCAGAAACACAAAATGTTTGTAGTCCCGGAAGAACACCGGTGCCGAACAAGGGCTTTCTCCTCTTTTTTATTCTTTAACGACAATAGAGATAATTTTTATTATTTTTAAAGCATGTAACTGCTTGATGTTTAAATCTAAAGAAAATATAACTAGAAAAAATTCCACGCGGACCAGGAACCCGTCCCGCAGGTCCCGTCTGCTGCCTGGTCCGCGTGGAATTTTTTCTAGTTATATTTTCTTTAGATTTAGACAATAGAGATGATAAGTACCTTTTTTTCTTCGTCTATCAGATAGATTATCAAAAAGTATTCGACACGTATTTATATATGACATGACACCTAATCAAAACATTACAGATACTTACAGAGATATATTGATTTGAAATGTCCCAAGAAGTTACGGCTTAGTGCAGTTTTTACTTTTTAAGTGACGTTATGAAGCCCTCCCCCCTCCCAAACTTTGACGTGATCTTTGTCATGTTTTGTTTGATTGACAAAAGAAAAAATAAATTATCCTATTTTTTTTTATAATTCATCTAATGGAATAAATAGAATTTGGTTTACTTTACCCCGTCATCATACCTATTACAATTTAGTTTTGTTTTGTGAACTTTCGAACAATGTATATGTAACCTCAGCAAATATAATGTAAAAGAATTATACTTCAGCGTTTTTACTAACTTATTATTATGTACCTCACTATTCTCTATGATGTAGACATAAGGCTCAGGTTGAGCCTTGTTCAACTGTTTTTCTAGAGCCCTCGTCGTCTTCCATAGCATCAATGTGAACCGCTGCGTGGGCGCAACCAAGGGTACCCAGCGCACCACCCATTCTATTCGCAATGCAGGGTCAGTAGTCTGTAAACTATTTGCATTGCTATTTATCTATTTGTATCAAAACTTGTTACAATTAAAATGCATGGTTAGTTAAACATACGTCATTCTAAATACAATATGGCGGACTAGTTAGTTTTCTACTGATATAAACTCCCATGTTCTGAGTGTCAAATATAAGGGTTTGCAGAGAAGAATACGAATAAACTAACACCTGTTTTAAATCTTTCGAGGAAATTTATTACTGCAATTAAACCAAAGGTTGTTTTAAAAGTGATTTTATTATTAATCTATTTCATATTATGTGGGAAAAATATTTTCCCATACAAACTTCCACGCCCATTTTCACCCACTCAAAAGATTATTTCTGGGATATAAATTGTCCTATATCTCGATCCAGAGTCTATTCTGGACGCGTACAGTTTTTACGCGTACCAAATTGCATTCATTACTTTTTGCGTGATATCGTAACAAATTGTAGAATTATTTATTAATTTTAAAGTTTGTATAAACTTTCACATTTATAATATTAGTAAAATTGTAAGTATGGATTTATTTCTTACTAGTCTAGCCTACTAGGTCCGCCCTCGTTCCGCTTCGGTGTAGCGTGGCTCTAGTGCAGACTATAGTTTTTGTTCTCAGGCTTGTATTATAGTAAAAAAAATGTTGCGTAGTTTAGGACCCGTTGTACCGAATGTACCAAGGCTCTGAAGTTCCGACTTGAAAAATAATGTTCGTGTTGGATAGTGCATTTATCGAGGAAGGCTATAGAGGCTATATAACATGAAGCTACGACCAGCAGGAGTTTAGAATCGATGAAATATGTTACAAACACGGGTAAAAATATTCCATTTGTGAGATTCCGTTGCGTGCGCTGGGTAAACGATTAAAGTTATACAAAAAAGTTCAATAAAAAAGTCGGGAACAGCATATGTCCGTCTTTTAAGTTTGACTCACTAAAACCTTTTTCTTCAAATTAACGCGAGTGAAACCGCAGGGGATCTCTACTTGTGACATATCTGTAATAGTTACACATATGGTACTGCGGACTTTTTTGTAGATCTTGATGTCCTCTATAGAACTTTAGTACAGTGGGTTGCCAAATTAATAGGGACAGTCGTGAAATATTGGTATTTTGTACAATATTGGTCCAAAAGTCATTATAAACACATTTTATAGTTATAATTAGGTTTAATATTATAAGAATACATATCTACTAAGTAGTCTTAAGAATTAATATCTATATTAAATAATAAAAAAAAAATATATAAATGGATGAACATAATACTAAAAAATAATTAATATTTAGTGACATTTCCCTTGGCTTCTATAAGGGCTTCTATTCGTCTTGGCATGCTTTCTATGCACTGTTTAGCACTTTCTTTTATTTTAGGGTTGTGATGCCACACATTTATTAGTTTTTCTATCAATTTTACCTTGGTGGTTATCATCTCCTTGGCAATTTCCGCCTTGGTTATTTCCCATAAATTTTCTATGGGGTTCATGTCGGGAGAATTGCCAGGCCAAGGTAAAACTGGAATGTTGTGGTCTGCCAAGAACTTCGTTACACTCCTCGCTTTATGACATGGTGCTGAGTCATGCATAAAAACGAATTCCTCGCCATCTGGGAACCATTCTCGGAGTTGCGGCAATAAACGAGATTCTAAAACTTGTCGGTATTGGTCCTGTCTCATGGTTCCCTGGACAATGTAGAGGCGCCCAACTCCTTTAGAGCTTATGACAGACCACACCATAATCTTAACCGGATGTTTAACACGCTCCACGATGCAGTCGGGGTGATACTTCTCGCCTGGACGTCGCCTGACAAAGTTGCTTTTGTCGGCTAGAATCTCGAATGTTGACTCGTCTGAGAAACACACCTTGAAAAAACAGATATCTTTTTAGAATTTTGATAAATACTACTTAAAACGACATAAATTAGAAGTTTAAAGTAAAACTGACCTTACTCCAGTCTTCAACAGTGTTCATACGGTGCTCACGAGCCCAGGCAAGGCGTTTCTTCTTCATCGCTTCAGTCAACCGAGGTTTCTTAACTGGTCTATGACCAGTCAGATTCTCCTCAGCCAACCGCCGCTGCACAGTTCTTTTTGAAACTGCTATTCCAAACTCCTGAACCATCTGAGTTAAGAAACCCACACTTTTTTTTCGGTTTTGCAGGCAGATATCCCGAATTTTTCTGTCGCAACGTGGCGTAGTAATACGTTTTCTGCCACATCTGCCTTTTCTTTTGGGCGAAACTGGTTGATTCTGGTCCAAATTTAATTTTATTTTATTGACAGCAGACTTAGAAACTCCGGTAAGTTCCGCTATCTTTCTCTGAGAGTGACTCGTGTGCAGGAGAAGGGTTTGAACCTCAGATTTTTTTCTTGGAGTCAAATCAACGCCTCGACCCATACTGAAAGCCATAAAAATTAAAAAAAATAGTAGTTATATAAAAAAATTAATCTAAATAAATTTTTAACTTTAACAGTAAAGTAATACTCACTTTCAATAATAATTTATTGCACTAAATCACAAAAATAACTTTTTTTTAAATTAATCAATGTTTTATAATTTTACGCGTGTGAAGGACTCTGCGTCTCCAACGTTATTAAAATATTTTTAGAAAATGAACAGACCCTTTACACATGAAACCCACTTAAACTTTGAGTCAAAGAGATGTTGTGAATACAAAAAATACATTCCAACAACACTTGCACCACTTTAAAGTGCACTCAAGTGTGCCCAAAGAAATAAATTGATAAAAAATGTGACTGTCCCTATTAATTTGGCAACCCACTGTATATTACTTTGCTTCATTGTTAATGACTTACGTATATACATCGCCATTCCTTCCCCTTCCATCTCTTCAGGGCACAACACTACCGCTGCAGAGCAACATTTCCATGCTCGGTATGGAAGTTCGCTCAGACCTGAATCCAAAGGACTACATCGAAACCGTGATCAAAACAGCTTCACGCAAACTCGGAGTCCTGAACAAGGTGCGGCGATTTTCACGCCCGATCAACTGTGCTTGTTCTACAAAACGCAAGTGCGGTCCTGCGTGGAATATTGCTCGCACCTCTGGGATGGCTCCGCCAAGTACTTGCTCGATGCTTTGGATAGGTTACAGCGGCGCGCGATCCGCATCATAGGCGATGAGGAGGTGACTAAACACCTTGAGCCTCTTCAATTACGCCGTGACGTGGCGTCACTAAGCGCGTTCTATCGTTTGTACCACGGCGAGTGTTCTGAGGAGTTATTCTCTCTTATCCCACCTTCCCCTTTCCTTCAGAGGACCACGCGCGCTGGCCTACTTTGTCACCGTTTTACTGTGGCCACAATTCCAACGCGTACAAAGAAATTTGGTGACTCATTTCTTTGTCGCACTATCCGTAAATGGAATGCTCTGCCCGCTCACGTGTTCCCTCCCTCTTACAACCTGGGATCCTTTAAAAGAGGCGTGAAGAAGCAACATGCAGGCCGGCAGGGTGAGGATGGCTGGTGTGGCAGGTAGAACTGCTGTATCAGCTATCTTCGCGTCTGGACTTCACCTTCACTTAACATCAGGTGGGGTGGAGTCATTTGTCGGACCTAACTATAAAAAAAAATATATAAAAAAAAATATACGCGATATAAGGTTATATCTTGTTATTTATTACACAAGTTGGGTTACACTATTCCAGTTTTCATTTAGAACCCTAACTTATTTGAAAATACTCTATAGCCTAAGTTAATCACAGATAATATAGGATTCTAAATTTGTAAGAATTTTTCAAACCTGTGCAGCAGTTTTCTTTCCAAGCCTATTCAATACAATGAATCAATCAAATATTTCCTCTTTATAATCTAATCTTTATATATATAATTCTTCTGTGAGTGTGTATGTCACTGAACTTCTCTTAAACGACTGGACCGATTTTGATGAAATTTTTTGTGTGTGTTCAAGGGGATCTGAGAATGGTTTAGATTCACAATTTTGTCCGCTGAACAACCCCTATTTTTTTAGGGCGGTACGAAGTTCGCTGGGTCAGCTAGTAAATATATAAAATTCTCATGTTACGGTGTGCGTAATTGAACTACTCCAAAACGGCTCGACCGATTTTCGTGAAATTTTATATGCATATTCGGTAGGTCGAAGAATCGGACAACATCTATTTTTCATCCCCCGAAAGGTTAATGGTCCACACTAAATTTATTTATGAACAAAATCTTTTGTTATTATTTTTATATGATACATCATACAAAAATACATACAACCCTAAATTTTCACTCTTCTACCACCAACCCCTATTTTTTATGGCGGTACGAAGTTCGCTAGTATTATTATAGATATTTCCTTTCACAACATTGCCATAAACTCGTTACACGGATATATGAAAGAATATTTATATATACGCTTAGGATTGTTTATATTGGCTCCGTGGTAAAAAATGGTTTTATTGAATGTCTAATACATTATTTTGAACTAAACTGGACACTCCCAACTACGAAAAGTTATGATGTGGTGAGTATTATACTAAATATTCGACTTTTTCAGAGATGTTTATAATGTTCCGTAATAAATGATTTTATTAATAACGTACGTGATGACAGTGTTATCTGGCTTATCCAATACAGCATCTTCATCTTTGGGACAAATGAACTGTGGTGCCAATATTCGAAACCTGGATAATGACTCTGTAAGCTGAACACCAAAGTGATTAGAATATCTTTAAGTGTTATAATAAAAATAACTTTAATTTAGTAATTCTTTCCAAGTTTTTAAAAGACAATGGTAAAAGTGAAAAACTGACCTTTTGGAAACATAATAGTAAGTACACTATAGGTACTCGTATACCGGGAATTTTGAGTCACCTGAGAAACTTTACCGGCTAATTCAGACCACGATTTAGGTTACATTTCCGCGATAATAACGGTTTATGCGACTATCATATAAAAAGAGGCATCAAAACACGAGAGTCTGTTGAGTGTTTTAATACCTAAATTATATGCAGTTGCATAGACTCCTTTATATTCACTCATAGAAATAATTAAAATCAAACAAATTAGCTAGGTAACAAAGAAGTTTTTTACAAAACTATTCAGTACCCTTAGCACGAACCAATATCGAATTCGTAACGTTTGCGAGTTCGAAATGCCATTGTCAAATGTGTACCATTTTTTAGTTCTCTTACGTACTTTGTGGCGCAGCTCTTTAATTTTGCATACAAAATAAGACAATGACA